ACTGCCAGTCTTTCATCGCAAGATCTTGCGGTCTACTGGTAAAGGCAGTGCTCTCCGAGTTTAAGGGCAAAGGTTCGAGTCCCAGATAGGAATGCTTTTTTCTTCTATTTCATTTAAGATCCTTCCAAAAAGAATTAAGTAAAATAAAAAAGTCCATGCTTACACCACAAGAACTGGTTGTGTAGTGGTGAAGGCGATGATCTGCCAAGTATACAGTCGATGGTTCAAGCCCTGGATAAACCGAAAAAGAACAAGGTAATAAAGTGAGAATTTGTGAGTGTGAGAGGAGTAGAGCGAGAGGGCGAATATGCCCTCGCCTTGGGCGAGGAGTAGACTGAGGGGGGTTCTCTTTCCCCCGGCTTTCCTGACTTTCAAAGCAAGCTTTCTTCAAACATTTAATTGAGTTAGGGGATAGTTAGGGATGTCGGAGGATAGGAAAAAGTAGGGATAGATAGGAGTAAATAGGAGGATAAATAGGGGTAAAGAGGTTTAAATGAGTACAAAAAAACTTTAACATTTTATATCGTGTTTTCTCACCTATCCCTTTTTCCTTGCCCCGGGAGCCGAGGCCGCCCGGGGCAGCCGCCCAATTACTAAGTCTTTTTGTACTCATATACCCCTCATTCACCCTACCTATCCCCTGATTTCCCTAAAGATTAACTTTGATTTGCAAAGATTAATCGAGTACAAACTTTCCCCAAGCAACATACCTACCAATTTTCTTTTTTTTTATTTTTCCTTCCACCGCCATGAGGAACGTACCATACTGTTTTTGATACCTCGATCTTGTACCTGACAGTCCACGATTTTACCACAAGGCTAACTGGTGATTGTTGGAAGCCTGCACCAATTTATTCACCATAAACTTACCACTTTGTATAAATAACGAAAATTTTCATCTAAAACGAGATTCGAACCTTTGACTGTCAACACATGGGACTAACATCTTGACCACAACACTACAAGAGCTTGTGCTGAAAAAGCATGGTTATTTAATTTACTTTATCCTTTTCACAAAGTTCATAATGAAAAACGGTTATGGTAGAATTCGAACCATCGATTTACAACTTGGGAGTCCATTATGGAGTCCACTATACTGTTAGACTACAAGCAGTATAGTAGGATTCGAACCTCCAGTTTGGAACCGGGCAGAGCATTGCCTCACCACTAGATCAGCAGAACATTTAGCGACTAACCCTATTTTATTTTATTAAACCTTTTGTCGAAGGATTGTACATAAATTAATGACCTCAATGAGTTATGATGAATTATGTTCTTGCCCAAAACGCAAGTAACTGTACCTTATATTCTCAACTTTAACCTAATATCAACCATTTGTGTTGACGCTATAAAATATCGCAGATATGGAACGCCTTGAGCAAAGAAGTATTACTCTGCCATAAACTAATTATATGTGGCCCAGGTGAAGCCAATGGTCACGGTACGATTTTTTACGATCAATAAAGTTAAGTCTGATTTCACAGGTCACAAAATGAAATTTGGGGAAAATGGTATTTCATTTGGTAGATTAATTAGAATGTTTCAACCAGTGGTTTCAACATTCGCATCTAATTTCACAACTGAAATTGCACTCCAATTTCAGGCAACATATATTAAATAACTCCACCTCTCTTTAAGCTCCGTTAACATAAAAAATGTTGTCACGTTTTTTCCAAATGGTTAAGTAGTTTTCGATATTTTGCAAAAACTGAATACCCTTTCAATATATCATTTCCAAAATCACGCCTTTTACATTGTAAAAAATCGATATTTAGCACGATATTTATGGGATCGCGACGTAATAACACGACGATTGTCTTCACCACTTGGCCAAAATATCTTGAAATCAACAGCTATAAATATATTTTTTCTAACTTACCTAAATCTTCTCTTTTACGCCATATTCCTTCCGTTTAAAGCCGGCGCATACTAGAGCTATGTGCTTCGCAAAAAGTCATTCGTGGCAATTGGCGTAAGCCAGTTGCTCTCGTGTGCGAGCGACTTTTCAGGAGACTTTGGTCATTCGTGCCACTTACGGCAAATATCTAGCATGTTTGATAATTTCTGCCTCGCGTGCCGAAATCTTTCCGTGTGCGGCAAACTGAAAGCTATCTGCTTATGGATTGTCTTAACACAGCATGCGTAATATACGAAAGTATACATCCAAGATGGCGGACAGATTGCAAAAATAAAAATTATGGATGGAAGTGAAGACGAAGAGGTTTTGTTATTTTTGTTGCTGTTGCGTCGGACTAGACTAGACTTCCGCTTTAAACACCGTGATTAATTATATTACCTGTTTGAGAGAGCTTACTAGTTATTTCTGCAATAGCGCATTCCCGTTTCTCTCTGCTTCTAAAATCTGTAGAATTCACATCGTATAAACACCTGTATTCTGGCCAAAGATCAACCAGTTTGTCTTCCAATGTGGTCTCAGCCACCAATTCGTCTTGCTTTGTTTGCACCGCTATCTTGGATGTTTACTTTCGTATATTACGCATGCGCTGTTAAGACAATCCATAAGCAGATAGCTTTCAGTTTGACGCACACGGAAAGATTTCGGCACGCGAGGCAGATATTATCAAACACGCTAGATATTTGCCGTAAGTGGCACGAATGACCAAAGTCGCCTGAAAAGTCTCCCGCACACGAAAGCAACTGGCTTACGCCAATTGCCACGAATGACTTTTTGCTAAGCACATAGCTCTAGTGTGCGCCGGCCTTAAGACGTGCGAGAAGCAGACAACTGCGGCGCCATAATCAAACTTGAAGAGGAGCCTCTTCCTCGAAACAGGACGAGAGAGCGAGATTGACGTGTCACGCAGTGGATTTAGTTAAGAAATGATGTGAATAAAAAACAATCTTGATCAAACGTAGATAATTAAAGATAGTAAGCGCACGACGCATCTCTGCAAATTTCTAATTAAGCTACTGGAGCTTCAGCACTTGGTGTTAAAGGCTACATTTATTTATTTTTACCTAAATCCCTTTTCAAAGTCATAATGAAAATTTAGTCGTCTCATTAGTTAACCTGCACCGTACTGAACGTACGATTGAGTAGCCTCGTTAACTAAACGAGAGTTCGGTTCGCAATCGTTAATATAGACGGTTTCTATTAGCTAAAACAAATTTAATTATCGTATTCGTTTGTAAACTTTAAGCCATAACATAAGCCATGCATATTTAGTGATTTTTGGTCATGTAATTTTGTGTTGTGACATCGTGTATTAGGTGTATATAGTTATAAATATTACCATGCATGTAACGGGATGACGATGATTGATGAACTGTGATGGTAGTTTTTCAAACTGCGGAATAAGCCGAATAACTTGTAGTTGTAGTACTTGTATATAAGTTGTATATACAAGGGATACAGAGTGCACGACTCTGCAAACTGCAGCAAATAATTAATTTGCATTGCACCTACTGCTGATTTTTTGGAAATGTTTTTTATCCCCCTTCTTTATTCCAGATTCGGTGGATCAAACACGATAATCGCACATGTGTTATTATCGCTTTTCAAAATGGCGGATTCGTCAATAAAACCCTTCATATTATAAAATAAATTAAATAAATATAATGATATTGAATATTGCTACAAATGGGCAAACATACTTGCTTGGATCCGAACGATCGACTTACCATTTGGGAGCCCGCATTGTCTTCGTAACTAGACCACGAATCTTCTTCTAAACGGCTATGGTTATTTAATTTACTCCTGTTACATGATCCGTAACACCATGTAATTATAATAATATAGCGTTATAATTATACTTCCCAAACTATATATATATATTATATTCGATGAACCTTAGTGAACTTAGATTTATATTCATGAGTAAGCAAATAGTTATATTCAGGAAAGACTTCTTACAAGTATGAGTAAGCAAATAACACCTTATCCCACAAACGACGTCTAACAAGGTATCGACCAGAAACCACGAGAGTGTGCTACAACGCACTGTATTACATTGGAGAAAATGACTTGTAGTTTTATAGTCTCTTCTCCTAGCAAGCGTATAAAGTCTGCATGAGGACTGGACAATTCAGGCATTATTCGTAATATACAATACATAGAGATTACTTCTTGGTTGGCGAGTACTATACGATACGGGTTGTGAAGGATCGCAAAACGAACGAGTGAGTTTGCGATCCTTCACAACGAGTTCAAAACAAAAAGATAAGATATATTGTAGCGAAACTATAAATGCCAATTTGACATATTTTGCGTACGCAAATGGTATCCCCAAACTGGACCCGAATCAATGACCCTATATTCAATTTTTCTAAGGGGCTGTTTACGCGAGCCCGATTTCCCGAGATTCTGCAAAGTGGAAGAGGTCTTCAGGAAACCAAACAAGAACATGCTATTGTCGGAATGATAAAACCCCTGGGATGTTTATGTTATATACTTATTTCGATACCCCAAAGTCATCTCACGATTCAGACCCGATAAGATTCATACAATTGTGTTATGTTAATAATATATTGTTGATTAGAAAAATAGATACGACCCGAGCTAAGAAGGTAGAATATGTGGCACAAAATATCTAATTAGACAAATTGTTTCATGAAATTATGGAGAAATATCTCAAAAAACATCTTGACATTCCGACTTTACAACGAGATGTCACCCAGGTTCAGTACAATTCGCTATACCTTTAATTTTATCTCATATAGCCCTAGTTATCGTATTTGATTGGTTCGTGTTTCAAAGCTGCCGGTGGTTGTGGTCAAATCCCAAACCTCGCTATTAAACGTTTACTCGCGCATCGATCCTCCGACGAGGGCCGGCCCTTGGGTCGAAATTGTCAAGACGTTTCCTTGTATTCAAGGCTCTGCATGGATGAAACAGATTTGTCGATTACAATGATTCGATTTCAATTTGGATCTCACCTATGATCTCAGTTATTGCATATAAAGAGAGCTGCATTTCCATGCATGCACTCACAACACATAAATGCACTTAAGTCACTCTTATATAACATCTAGTGACAATGGAAATATCAAAAATATAAATTTTCAAATCATTCCTAGTACAAATTGGCTACTAAAATTAAATCAATTTAGCAATGTTAAAAAAAGCCCACACCAATTTTGTTTCGGGTCATCTCCTGTGGGTCGTAATCTTTTTTTGATATTCATTTTAACAAGTGAGGATATGCCAGGGCAGATGATCTGTGAGAAACAGGAACCTGGAATTTCTGTAAAGAGAATACGCAGTTGTCAAACAAAGATATATAGAATATTCGTTATCTTGCACTAAAAATTTTGGGAAGATATTCTTCCAAAATGGAAACGTGCCGAACGCACATTTTTACGAATTGATTGTGGAAAAGATGTTTGAGACAGCCCAGCTCCGACTTGTATATTTCGCCATAATATGTAAAACTGTGACATGTGCATATTGCATTTCTCTGCCACGTGAGAATCAGAAATAAAAATGATTCAATGAGAATCAGAAATCAAAATCTTCTTTTATCTTGGCAATTTGTTAAAAAAATGGTCGCTGCTCAGGGAGTCTATAGAAACAAAAGCAAAATGTCGCTTCGAGCGAAAAATACCGCTCGTTAAAAACTGGCTCAAATTGCAATAAGAGTTGAAACCTGCAGGACCAATAACACATTGGCCTTGTTTTTTCTACAATAAAAAGACACTATAGACACTTCACACCTTATTACACTTTACACCTTATTCAAGTGAAGTTTTTCACCTTTCCTTTTTCCTCCAACAATCCCTCATTTTTTTCAATGTTGAAAAATTGGTGAAATTGCATGCACCTTTGAAAAACCGATTTAAAACCCATCGCTTCATGTAAATTATTTCGAGCCCAGTGCTCCGACCACAAGCTGCGCGGGCTTAATTTGTTGTATAGTACATATCGGAAATATAAAAGTGTTTTGATCAATTTGTCAAACAAAAGAAACAAGAACAATAAAAAGAACAATATTTATCAAAAGAAATCACTCAACTGTCTCAGCACACGTTTTTGAGGAACTAATCGGCATATTTGTTCACATTGCTCAAACAAAGCCAATTAGAATGCTCAATTTTCTTATATATCATGCAGAATGGCAAATAACGTATGTTTTATTTACCGGACATAGTCAATATTTATGCACTCAGATTGGGTTACTGAAAATATAAAATGGAACTGCAAATTTGCTTATTGGTCTAAAACAAAATTCCTTTTTCATTGTATGGCCATACAATCTGAAACGGCCGAGTGAATCAAATTAAGAAATTTGTCCAACTTACATTTTTGCCAACTCGTGATAGATATCGGAACCGGAGTTGTTGAGCTGACCGAGGCTGTATAGATGTTTGTCCATCATATGTATACGGATCATTCTTTTGGTTTTCGTCAGTGGAGAACGTTCTGGAAATGAATAAGCGATATACAACTACAATTATACCTATAACAGATTTTATAATTATAGACCATCGGTACTGCGAGTTTTTATTAGAAATAACGTCTCATTAGTGGTGGATTCGTTAGTGGATGGTAAAAAGACAACCTGCATGTTCGCAAGAGTGGTACAGGCGCGTTAACGACACCTCACACACCATTGTCATCAGCTGTTTAGATGCAAAATCTCCAGCATTATAGTAATATAAAGAACTCACAATCATCAACGACTCCTCAAAAGAAGTCGCGCGACTCGTGTACTGAATGGTGGGTGGGTGTTACAACGGCTTTGCTCATTATAATCAGAGGCAACTGGATGTAAAAATTGCTTAATTCAAATATGGACTCCAGGTCATATTGATGTCAAATAGATGGTCAAATATTCTTACATGCATATTATTTTAATAATTATTGCAACTCAAAATGTAAACAAAGCGCTTGTTCACATCGCAGAAAGAAAGACTGTACATCACATCACATCCAAAACCCTTTATAAATTCAACAATACGCTATAGAGCGATAGCTATCTCTAATTTTTGCAGCGCGGAAAAAAGAATATCAGAAAACCAGCTGCGGAAACAGCTTCTAATAGAAGAAAAGATTTGAAGTGTGTTGATAAAGAACACCAAATCCAAAATTTTTGCGGATGTTTATAGCTATCCGTTGGGTTTAAACCCGCTGGAGTTTATAGCAACCCGTCAAAAACAGAAAAAACTTACAGCGCTGATTTCGGTAATTGTAATTGGTTTCTTTGTTTTGTTGACAGATTAAGTTTCCCGCCTAAAAAAGCAAAATATTAAAAGTTAACTAAATCTCGATTTCATGACTGAAGTGGCCTTATATATGCATATACATACTATACTCGAAAAAACCAAACTCCTTACAAAGGATTTTAATAAAATTAAATCTTCCGAAGTACCAGATGCTATAATCATTCATCTACATGTTAAATTCAATTAAATTTTCTTGTACTTGGTTTTGAAAAACGAAAAACGCAACAGTGTTTTCAGTGTAATCTTTTACGAACTATTTTTTGTAATAGGCACCTTAAAAATGTAGGGCGGGAACACAACGACAGCGGCTATCAATACAATGACAGTGTATTCGCTACCTCGAATTAAGCTCTGTAGAATTGTTTCCTACTAATGTTTTTAACGTCTTATACATCATTAATTTGATGCGATTGATAATATTTAACAACTTTTAACCATGCCATTAATTCATTTAGCTAGAGTATTCCAGCCGCGTCGTCGTCGGTTTGCCGTCCCGGACGCATGCTTAACTTAAGGATCCCAAATAGCTATCTCATTACCATCGGAATCGAAGTCATGTTTTGAATAAATATTAGATTCCTGATGACACATGACGTCGATTCCATGAGAATGAAAAACTATACCTTTGGCTGAATCAGCCAGATAAAGCATAATAGTGCACATCAACGCAACTGAAAAATAAAAGATAGAAAAAGTAGGCAACTTATCATCATTGTGTAACATGGAATTGTATAAACATAATCCATCAATTAAGCTGATTTTCATTAGGGAAAGTGGAAAATATTACGTTAAATCCTTAGACTCGATAAAACGCTTTACATCAAGTCAGATTTTGCATTTTTACGAGATACGCTATATATAAAATTCTACATCAATTAAATTCCTCCTCCTTCAGGTACAATATATTAGGGAAGATAATAACGGAAGAAGCCATTTAATTAGAGCTTAAAGTAATCTCTTGAAATATTCAACAAATGCAATAACAGCGGGACAAAACTTACTGCATAGCCAAGCACAGAAAAATACTTCTAAAAATAGATAGCCTTTGGCGTCGACAATGGCACCGGCCGCCATGTTAATAAGAGCAAGGCCAAGATTCTGTATCGACTGCATGCTACATAATAGATATAAAACACATTCTTGGCGCTCCGGCATAATATACATAAATTATATTCATCTACTTTGAAAACTACATGGTATTTTATTTAATAGAAGAAAACAGGATAACTAAATAATATACAGATACGATAAAATGTATACATTTAAAAACAAATATCCTTTACCAGCTGATAGTTTTAGTAATATAGAATTAAAGTAATTCCGAAAAATGAAAGCATGATACAAATTTTATTCGGTATATTTCGAATCAAGATCGATTCATCTTCAGCAGAATGGTTTAACGTTTATAAGATTTGCGTAACTATAAAGCGCGTACCATTCAAAACATGCGTGATCGTAGCACGCGTAAACAAGTAAAACAAATTTTAACGTACAACCAATTCAAATGTTAACCGCTGTTCTTCTGTTCAGCGATATTATGTTCAGGAGTTTAGATGTTTGTTGACAGCGCTATTTTCGTCTTTGTATGCATGTTCTCGTACCCGTTCTAGTAGCGTTCTGTCAGTTTTATCAATGTAGGTTTTGTTACATTTTGGACAAGTAAACTCGTAGACAATGTTGGATTTGCTTTGTTTAGTCCACGTAATAGCTGTTCTCCCTTTGTACCAATATTTGGCATTTCTAACAATAGTGTAGGTATAGTGGCGTTAGCGTCTGTCACGTTATTGTTGTTCTCATTGTCAGTAGATTCAAAATGGTGTTGATCGAAGCGTTTCATTAATGAGCAGACAACATGTTTAGGATAACCGTTCCATCATAAAAATTGCAGTTTTTGTGTGAGTTTAGATGGTGAACACATGTTGTAGATGCGGTTAAGAAGAGAACGAATCCATGCAATGCGATGTTTTCATAGTACAAAACTATCAAAGTATATTGACAAGTAAAAGTACGTTTTCGGTATATGGAAAACTTGTTGTCGTCAAGATTGAGGTCGAGAAAGTGAGGTGGTTCGTCAGGAAACTGGTCATAAGTAAAGCGGATGTCAAATGAGTGAAATTTGTAACATATCAACGTCATCATGCTTAACTACTAGTAGTGTATCATCTACATAGTGGCAATATAATTTATTGATACCGCATGATGGAACGGTTATCCTAAACATGTTGTCTGCTCATTAATGAAACGCTTCGATCAACACCATTTTAAATCTACTGACCATGAGAACAACAATAACGTGACAGACGCTAACGCCACTATACCTACACTATTGTTAGAAATGCCAAATATTGGTACAAAGGGAGAACAACTATTACGTACACTAAAGAAAAAACTTCTGATCAGAACAAAAGTAACAACAGCAAATTTGAACTTGTTTACGAAAGGAAGCAAAGACGAAGTTCCTAAACAAAGCAAATCCAACATTGTTTACGAGTTTACTTGACCAAAATGTAACAAAACCTACATTGATAAAACTGACGGACGAGCACATGCATAAAAAGACGAGGATAGCGCTGTCAACAAACATCTAAACTCCTGTTTATATCGCTACTGATTTTAAACTCTAAATCTAACAATGAACAGACAGAAACGTGTTCTGACAAATACCAAAATCATCGACTACTCAAAAGAACTGTAACTTGTTACTTTATAAAGAAGCATTACACATCAAAAGACGAAAATCGATATTAAATAATGGACTAAAGGCTAGTAGAGAACTGCAGTCATTTAACTAATGGCAAATGACACTGAACAGAAGAACAGCGGTTAACATTTGAATTATTTTCACGTTAAATTCGTTTTAATTGAATTCGTGAATGACCTTCCCAACGTTGCCACGTCTTCATCTTCGGCAATGTTTGCGGATGACACAAAGTGTTTCCACACCATCGAACATCACAAGGACGTGCATGATCTCCAAACTGATCTCGACAACATTTGTGAATGGTGTGATGTTTGGAGAATGGATTTAAACGGGGGGAAATGCAGTCACCTTCGCATCACGAGGAACTTAAACCCGATTGATTCGTCCTACAGTCTAATGGGGACAGCAGTTAGGAACGTAACCACCCAGAAAGATCTCGGAATTCTCGTCCAGCACAGCCTCAAGTGGAATGATCATGTGTCTGTTGTGTCGAGCAAAGCCAACAAGATGTTAGGATTCGTGAAAAGGTCTTGCCATGGTATGCATGATGTACGCGTGCGTAAGGCACTCTACACCAGTCTTGTACGTAGCCATTTCGCCTACGCGTCTGAAGTTTGGGCTCCGCAAACAGTCACCCTAATACAACAACTTGAGAAAGTTCAACGTCGAGCTACCAAATTCATATTATCACTGCCATTCCGGACTAATATTACGTACAAGGACAGGCTTTTGAAGATCGGTCTGCTGCCCCTAACCTACTGGCACGAATATCTGGACATCATGTACCTATTCCAACATTCACAAGGTGACCCCAACATCTGCACTAAACAATCAGAACGCATCACAAGACGATCAGACACCACAGGTCGTTACACCACGTTTAATATACATAAAGCAAACACGACAACCTTTCAGAACAGTTTCTACTGCAGAACCCCAAGAATTTTCAATGAATTACCAGAACATCTCCGCGACTCCAAACTCTCAATCTCTAAATTCAAATCTGAACTGTTTAATTATTATAACTATCTCACAGAACATGTATATGACGTGGACATTCCGCAAACGTTTAAGAGTGTATGTGTAAAATGTAATTCGTCTCGTCCTTTGTATAGTCTAAATGTAAAGTTGTGTTGTTGAGAGTTATCCATGCATGTTCAACATATTGTGAAACAACCTTGTATTGTATAATATTTTGTAATAATGTCCACCACTAATGTTCATGTAAATATTCTTATTCTATTTAGTATAATTGTACTGTAAGCAAGGGACCCCATAACTGGAGTTAAAACTCTGTGGGGCTCACCAGCCAAACATGGCGAAGAGTATAAATAAAAAAAATAAATAAAATAATTGCTTACGCGTGCTACGCTTACGTATGTTTAGAATTGTACGCGCTTTATAGTTACGCAAATCTTGTAAACGTAAACCATTCTGCTGAAGATGATTCGATCTTGATTCGAAATATCGTTTTTCGGAATTACTTTAATTTATATCATTTTTCGGAATTACTTTAATTCTATATGTACAAAAACAAATATATATGTATAAAGTACAAGTTAACAATACTTACAGTCCATAAGCAGTTCCAAGTTGATGCTCTGGCACTACCAGAGCCACTAAGGGCCACAATGCACATGCTACTATTGAGTACGATAAACCCATAAAAACCTAAATACGTAAATGTATTCAGAAAATAATATTCAGAGGTAAGAACGTTCCAACTCGGGGCAAATCACCACACTCAGAGAGGACATACAATGTCACTCAATAGGTGGCAGCTAGACGATTAAGTTTACGATCCTGAATGTATTTAAAATAGTATATAATTATTCAACGGCAAACTATATTCCCAGGACATACCATAGACACAATGGGAGAGAAAAATGTAAATGCCATGTACACGTGACAGCCAAGGGTCATCGAGACTCCAAGAAGTACTTGAAGGAAAAATAAAAGCGAAATAATATACATATAAGAACGAAACAGACCGACAACTTTTTACGACTTTAAAAAGCCAACTTCGCGCTCAGGAATAACCTAAAGTTTTTTATACAAAAAAAATTTGGTAATATTTTTAGATACAAATTTATTATTATTTTAAATATTACATGAAATTACAATGAATTAGCCTACGTAGCAAAAATTATAAACAACTCAAAAATTACTTACTCCATGAAACATTTCGCCCAAACTTATCGACAAGAAATCCAAACACGGGTGATGCTCCGGCAGATATGAAAAACATGATGCTGAAAAAAAAATACCGCGCGATGAATATATTGCATGCAAATGCAACATGCAGCTGTTGATCTCTGACCGCTGCTTTCATACTAATGGATTTCACGTGACGCCATATATGGACTCAATAGTGAGGTCAACTTAAAATCGAGGTTAAAAGTTCAGTGTGGTTATATTGGCTTTGTGCTTTAATAGTAGAAAATACGTGCAATTTCGTATTTTTTGATAATTGTCGAGCTAAAATGACTGATTATGTGAAAAAATTGAAAATGGATATTTTTATATGTAAAGTCATTATACATATATTATGGCTGTACATATAAAAAATATCCATTTTCAATTTTTTCAGTAATTATCATTGAATAATTATCCACTACCATTTTTTATTGTTTATAAGTCTCAGTAGAAGCGGACCACTAGATCTGAGCCTCATAAATAGATTTCTTTTATATTTCTACCGTCGGTACTCTGTGTCTTATTGTTATCATTAACCAATGGCAAAGCTTCATATAGGTACGTACCAACCCTACGGCTTACCTGTTGAGAATACTTGCTGTAGCAGGAGTTACGTCATATTTATATTCGAAAAATAAACTATATTAAAAAAGAACATGCATATGTGATTTAAAACAACTGTATGCATTAGAGATGTTAACCAGAGGCCAGTTGCATGAAGGCGTGATAAAGCCTTATCTATCGGATAGTGATTACCATATATAATGGTAATTGCACTGAGTGGAGTGCGATTTTGTGTGAAATCAAACGCGTGATTACAAATTATAATCACAAGTTTGATTTCACACCAAAGTTGCACGGCACAAAGTGCAATTTCTACTTTATTATATTCATTTTGAAATCATACTAAAAATTTAAAAAATTCAAAACAATTTGTTGGCTGAAAGAACCGTGAACGCTAAATCTATTCTTGTCAAGAAATTTTGCGGGACATTTAAAAATTCAAAATAATGAAATTTTGCGCCATTTCCCCCTGTCACTTGAATGGACTGTTACACTGAAATAATAAATCTGATTGGTTATTGTGGTGCAGAGGTTCAATCTTATTGACTTATAAATGATGCGATTAATGTTCAAAAATAGTGCGATTTGGGAATTAATCACACAATCATTTTTAACCAATCAAATTGCAATAAACACCATTGATTTCAAAATGAATATAATAATAAATATATAAACATGCTTTACAAGCAATGAAAGTAGAGATTTGGAGCTGAAAGCCATCAAAGAGAGTTTTCAATTTAAGAAATACTAAGGATTGAACCAGGTTATACATCAACGACGCGCGATTTTAGAGCGATAGGTGGATAGCGCGATCCAGCTTACATACAACCGGCCTTATCAGTTTAACCCAGCTAAATAATTAGGCAAAACCCTGTCTAATGAACCCATTTTTCCATTGAATTAGACGCGCATTAACTAATGTATCGTTTTGCAACATTTTTTAATTAAACCTCAAAAGCTTATAATAGATCTTCCCTACTGCTTTTCTTCCCGTCCCCCATTTTTCCTTTCTTCCTTCGTTCTCACATTGCTGCCGATTGCCAGCATACATGTATACCATGCTTTAACTTAATATGGAATGGAATCATTTTAGGCTCTATTTTTAGATTGTTAGACACCCATGAAGATCGATTTGAATTAAGTGATTTTGTCCCTTATATGTGTATATAATACTACAATCGCCGATCGTTTTGTATGACACAGATGACACATGTAATATATGTTCAACACATTTAAGAAAACCCACTCACACGCCCAAGCTGACAAATGGGAAAACAGCCACGTAGTAAGCGACACATATAAAGAAGATCAACCACAATGTGAGCGGAAAATCTTTAATATCAGACAGACGTATCACCTCACCTAGGAAATAATGAAACAGAATTCCATATTAAGTCACATTCAAGGACGTTTGAATGCATTTGTGTAGTAAAATTAAAAGCCTCGCCTATGATATGCATGGCAACTAACCCGTTTTGCTTTCGCCTCTCTTTAATATACGCTCGGCTCGCCTGTCAAAGAAGGCCAAAATTAAGGCAGCCAGTAATGACAATAGACAGAAAAGTACACCTACGAAAAGACAAAGAAGTAAACATGAAATGACGATATTCAAATCACGGACACAAACAACACAATGCACATGCAATAACTAACTTAATTTATACATAAAATCTTATATATCATGCCAAGAATGTGTTCGGAAGGCTCAAGACCATATTTCATCTTTTGTGAAAGTGGTACCTGCTCACAAGACTACTGGTACCTGATTTCAGGACGACAGAATATACTGTGCAGAATATCACAGAATAGTATTATACAGCACCTACAAAGAGTGTCCATCCTAAGGTCACATGTCCAATTCCAAACCTTTCCGAGAACATATTGTAAATTGGCCTCATTACATTCAAATTCACGGTGCTGCCCTAGAGTGAAAAACACAGAGAATATAGAAATACATCCCATGTTACATCTCAGGTTTCAAAATATAATAAAATATTAAGTTTCCAAGCACCAAAAAAATTCATATAAGAGAGAAGAAGAACGGACATCAACCGGATATCATGCAAGCATTTTCTACACTTAGGGCTATAGCTTTCAAAACTCGCCATTATACTCTTACTACTCTTGAAAATTTGTAGAAAATAACACCTCGGTTGGTTCTGTAATTTTTCTCGGTCGTTTCTTTTCCCAGAAATATTCACCGTTCTTTTTGTTTAATAATAGATTAGTATAACAGAGGAGGCAATGAAGATATCAAATGCTTTAAGTAATTTTAACTTATCTTTTCTATTTAGTACCCATGAGGCCCACAGGCTTTGGCTATAAAGTTGACTATCAAATCAAATCTACGCCTTGTTCACGTCTGTAACAAGTCATCAGATCGATTTCATGTAAAATTTGACACAGTAAGCAAATACTGTGATTTTGACTACAATCCAGAAGATTAGGCAGAAGGCATTTGAACACCCACGCCGGGGCGTAACTAGAACGATAATCGGGGTTGGGGGGGGGTTAGGTTGGTGGTGGGGGTGAATATTCATAAGTATATTCAGTTCTGCCCGACGGATTTCTATTGTAAACTATTGCACTTATAAAAAAAATCCCCCGAATTATTGTTCTAGTTACGTCACTGCAGCCGCGGCATGCACTCTAGACAATCAATATCTAACCAAGACACTCTAGAGGTACCATATAACTAAGCTCGACTGCTTACCACTCGCGAAATACTGAGCTGTAAACCAAACACTAAATTCAACTCTTTCCCCTTAAACCAGGAAACGGAATATGTGTTCTGAGCAACAGCAAGATTCTCCCCACCAAGACTTTAGACATATACAAAAAGAACATATATAAGTAATTTTGAGGAGATGAATACTGAGTTTCTGGTATAAGAAAACAATTTTAGTTGATGAAATGATAGGCTGATCAGCTGATGCTGTACATAAAAATCTATATATCCTGTTCATCAAAACGCGACGAACATTTGCTTTGGAATTTTAAATGACTAAAATAAAACTGATAATCCGCCGCGTGGCGAACCGGGAGGGGAGGGAGGACTTGCAGGTCAAAATGCTTCGTAATTGGTGAACTTAACTTACCCGAAGATAAACCTTCCGGATTCCATTACAGGATAGCTTCCTATGTATGCTCCAATGGCGAAGACAATCTGAAAAAAACAGCATGCAGCAAACGACGGGGTTTACCTTTAGTACGTAATTCATAAAGAGGAAAATAAATTCCTTAAAATAAACGTTTCTCTATATTTGAAAAACTTAACTCGGCATTTCAGGTTACTATTCGTATATTTTCCTGTCATCTGAATTATGAATGTACAACCGTTTTCCCGCACAAATTTTATGTACTATGTAGGAACATACACATGCGTTGCTTGTTAAGTTATAAAGCTTTCGTATACTCATTTGTTATAACTGTACCTGGCCAGCTAAAACAAATAAACTGAATACAATGGCGCCGAGTCTGAAAGTGAGAAAAAGGTTATGGTAATGAAAATAAATTGCATGTTTCTTAGGACCGGGAGACTTAATTACAGTTCAGAACTCATATTTTAAATTCATCGAACTCTTCGCACACGAATGACATCGCACTATACAGGCATCTGGGGCCGGTTGTTCAAAAGCAGGTTAAATTTAACCCTGGGTTAGTGCTAAACCTGGGTTAAAATCCTTAACCCTAGGTTAGCTAAACCTGGGTTAAAACTGTGTTGTTCAAAGCAGGGTTGGCGGTAGGGTTAGTTAACCTAGGGTTAAAAGATTTAACCTAAGATTAAATGTATTTTAAGGACTAAATTGGATATAAGAACGTTTTCGATTGGTCAATAAACGAGCGTCAAAACTTTACCCGACGAGGATATATTGTTAGTCGAAAGATTATATGCCGTGAGGGCAGGGTCGCAGGGACGTTGTTTTGAACAGTAATTTCCGTGCATGGAATTTTGGAAAGATTCGAAATGAAAGGCCATTTTCTATGATAAACAATGTCGATGTGAAACAAAATTAAGCAAATTATAAACAATCTATTTTAAAATTTCAGGCATTCTTTTATTATTCAAAATTCAGGAACAAACATAACTTTACCACTTGCTGCCAATCAAAAGCATTGAATTTAAGCATCCGAAACAAATATTTCGATTACGATGTTTCAATTTGTACGGTTGTATTCATTTATCGTGATTGAATTGAAGCGAAGATAAATAAATCAATACATCAGCTGAAACCGAACGAAGTCAAACTTAAACAATTATTTGCTGTCGAAATTATTCGTAAAACCTTTCAAAAGTGTTTAATTCATGACGAATTATACGTGTTTACGTGTTTCAGCTCCGTATTCATCCATTTTGAATCAAAGTTAACCCAGAATTAAAAAGTTAACCCATCTAGCTAGCAGGGTTAATTTTTTTTATCAATTTTAACTCAGGGTTAACGCTAACCGAGCTTTGTGCAACGCAAATCAACCAAGGTTTAAAATTTAACCCTGGGTTAGGCATTTTTAACCCTGGGTTAGCGTTAACCGGGTTTTGAACAGCCGGCCCCAGGAGGACAAAAAACGGACGTGACGTTTTGGTAAATATATTCAGATGTATGAAATTGTAATTATAATTCATTAATCACATAATAATTAACTATGAACTAAGGTAAACATTTTCTAAAGTGACATTTTCTAAACAAGCAAGGTCGTCGTGTCTTGATCTTTAATTGGGTTGGGGCGGTTCATATATTCATCATGTTGAAATAAGCATAAAAACAATTGCTTCCAAAAGAAATTAGTCAGCATAACGCAAATATTTACCCCCCCCCCCAAAATACGCTTCTGGCTGTGGCACACATAGCTTGTGGTGGTGGTGGTACCATATATTTCATTGGTCGGTATGATTTGAGACTCTTCAAATTTTTAATAGCTTAAATGTCCTCAATTTTATATTATTTGATACATACTTTAAGTATAATAGTATATTCAGATAAATCTTTAACTTGACGTTGACAACATTAACAGAGAAATTCAGAAAATATCCTTACGGTTTAAGACTTATAAACTCGCAATTATTCCAAAGAAAACCAACTTCATTTTATTTACATCAAGACAAAACCAGAGTAATATATAGTTACCATGAACGTACGTATTGATGAAATGGAAATTGGCGAAGTGAAAGAGAATAAGAGTTCATTAGTCCGGCGGCACAAAGAACATAAAAACATGGCTACATAAGCATGCGCATTTTAATCAAAGAAGTGATTAATACCAGAGATAGGAAACTATGGGACAACATAACGGCAGACACACTCAATGAGTGGCGTATCTAATTTAAGTTCGCCAGTATCTTAATTAGGATTGCTAGTCTTGGGTACCGATAGAAATAGTCACGTGAATAAGCAGCATGCTTTTGACTTTGTATTTCATAATATATTCGACGTAAAGTGAATAAAACCCTAAAATTGTAGTATAGGTTTTTTAGTTCACCCTACACGAACAATTGCGAAGATCACGAGGGCCACGAAGCGTTAGAAGTATCGTGGATGACATAATATTCTATGGAAAACCGAGACAACAACACGTTGAGAACTTTTTCTTTGGAGAAGTCTTGTCTGATACTAAACGAGATTCTAAACGTGTGAACCACTTACAAAATGCACCAACGCCTACTAATAATCACGACGTCAGAAGTTTATTATGCATGGCCAATTACAGTAGCCGCTACATCGCAAACTGCTTTATTAGCAAATAAGTGCATGGCATACTTTGATACCCAAAAGGATACATTATTACTGTGGATGCACGTCGCGTGGGTGTATCCGCTATTCTATCCCAATCAACGCCAGGCAAGGGTGAATGGTGAGGGAGTCGTACATGTAGCATACGCTAGTCAGACACTGACTGAAGTTGAAAAGCGATGTGTAGAAATAAAATAGTCCTCACACTTTTGTCAAGAAAGTTTGCGCTTGCCTGAAATTGCTGAATTTATAAGCAGTGTTTTTCAGAATTTCATGATCCACAGACAGCTTACCTTATGCCAAATACTTTGTCTATTAAATATCCTCCAAGGCAACTGAGTATGACATTAGGCCACGAATACAATGCATATAACATTGCATAGCTTTCTGTAGTTACTTCCATGTCCTTTGTATGAAAAAGAAAAATAATTCATTGTTATTGTGAAAAATTCTATTTAACAATTAGTCGCCGAAGGCGAGGTGATTACAAGCGACTGAGCCGAAAGCCAAATGAATATACTCAATATAGGCTTGTAATCACCGAACCTGAGGCGACTATTTGTTTTACTGTAGTATAAATTTCGAGGTGTTTCGCGGCGACTGTTTGTTGAGTATAAATTTCGTGGTGCAAGTAAGAATCAGCACAATTGCATAACTAGGGATCCAAGCATTGTGCAAAGTTTCCATGCCTTCTAACAACCCCGTACCCAGGGTCTTTAACCGTGGAGCGTAGGTTAAAGACCCTGGGTACGAGGTTGGCCTTCTAATACCTCAGCAACCAGGCATTTGTCCCAACATGAACGAGTCACGTTTTGACTTCTGCCAGTAAGTATATAAAGAACTAGGTTAAACATTACCCTTAATCAAACAGACAGGAAATTACACAAATTACGTTAGCTGCGATATTGTCATTATTACTTGAACTCTGGTGAGAGTCTTAAATTCGGTCAATTTTTTTCTGCGCAAGACTTATTCTCCCACGCGGCCAATCTTTATTTCGGCCAACCGAAATAAATGGCTATCGCATGTGACACATTTGTGATCATCTTATTGGCGTTTAGCGGCTCATTTAACTTCCTGTTTCTTCGCGCTAACGTCAGCGGCTGATTCGACTTCCAGCTTCTTTGTGCTTGACATCAGCTGCTGGTCAGGATTGTTTTCTGACATACGAAGCGTAATAATAGTGCGTTTTATTTTGCGTATCCAAGTATTTGTGAATGCACGCTTTCTAAGCGTACTCGATCAAAGCTAAACGACACTTCACGCATATTCAAAGCTAAACGACACTGCATACATATTCTTTGTACTCGATCAAAACTATACGAATGTACGCATCATCAGTGTACTCGATCGAAGCTAAACGCGACACAGCACGCATATCCTGTGTACTCGATCCGAGGCTAAACGACGGCACGCGTATTCGTGCATATTTGTGGGAAAACAATTGCCGCTTATTCCGTCGCCTAATCCTCACGAGTGAAAAGGAACATTTTCTTCTTTTAAGTGTATATTAGGTATAAGGAATATTAGGGATAGGTATAAAAACAGTTTCTTTCCTAGCACGAGTAGCACATTAAACAAGTAATTTTTTAATAATTTTCTTGTATGATTGCATGGCGACTTTAGCGGGTTAACGGACCGAAAGCTTTGCAGTATTTAATACTTACGTGGTGTACCTACAAGTTATTATAATTAAGTAATTTTTTAATTGCAATAAAATTTTAAGCTTTCTTGTAAAATAGTTAGAAATATATTTATATATATTGTAACTTTTAATATTTGGAACACATTGGAATTCATTTTTTATGCGATGATGTGTTACTAAATTTAATCTTATCATATTCTGTGAAAAACTAAAAGACTACGCGCATATTTTGTGTACTCGATTTAGTTATTAGAGTTCAAAATTTAATAAAATATTATGCTGCTAAAATCAGTAAAATGGGTATGGGCAATCCATGATTCGCAGACTCTCCATTCCACTGTTAAAGATAGCCCTTGTTTTAACTTTTAAGTTAACCTGCGATGTTTTTACAGTGCCTGCCAATCTTTTGCCTTTATTTATAAACTTTTCCCACTATAATAGCTCCTTTAGCTCAAGTAAACGCTTAGCAAGGAAGCATCTTGTTAAATTATAATTTTAGTTGTTCAAGCAAAGCGGGCGCAATTTTCTCAGATTACAGGGTTTGACAAAAAGCACCATGTTTGGCATGTAACTACATGTATATGATGGCAAAAATTTATACGTCATTTCAAAAGAATAGCCAAAATACTTGCATTGTAAATAATGAAAATGGAACGCGGTGCATATTATGTCTATGATGTGGATTTCGATGCGGATGCTTCGACGTAAATCGATACAAGACAATATAGCTACTTATATTTATAATCAATATTGCATACCGCCAAAATGATTTCATTACTGCACCAAATGTAGGTTTTGTATAGTATCAATTATGTACTGTATGCAGAATAGCAGGTGTGGAAACAATATATATTCACGTAAGAAAGAGATCTCGTAAGCTCTTCGCTGTGTTTATGGGATAAACTGTCCAAATTATATTTATGCTTAATTAATTAATGCTGGTAACTCATAACATAAGTTTATAAATTGTGTAGTTTCTTAAAGAATTACTCAATATTTGCGTCCGAAATGTTTGAAACAACACTCGTTGCTCCTCGTTTCTTTAGTTCTTACATCGTGAATATTTAATTTTCGCCACTCAGAAAATTATAAATTGACCCGTGACTATCACTTTAGAGACAGTGAATTTTGATCAATCAGAATGCAGGAAAATGAATAGTCACCTCGAAATTTATACTAAATACATTTAGTATTTTTTATATTCACCTTCAAATGCAGTTCTTGTGTCAATTCACTTGTGCAAAAGTGTTAAAACAACTCGGTGATTATCCCAGAATAATTGTTAAATATTCTTTGATATATGTAAAAAATTATCATTAGCCTCAGTTTGTTGTTCATCAAGGGCTTGATAACCTTTTATGGATAAGGTTCTGAACTTCATTCAATGAATAATGATTGGATTCTAATAACAGTATGTACCAGCTGAAACCTTTATATGTATACATGTACTTACCCGTTCAATCTGTTTTTGTAATGCAGCTGGGTTATCATAGCAAAAGTATGATCCTAAGTAAAGATTAAAATAAGAATGATTCAGATAAGAACATTTTTTTATCAATGAACTTTATGAAAAAATATTAGTGGTTTTACTATTAGAATGTTATTCCTACAAAAAATGAACAAAGAAAAAGTTACAATTGAACCATACAAGTGAAAAGTTGAGTCTAAAAGGTGAAACTGCAAATTTAAATTTTAAATTTTTAATAAGACTATTTGTCACTTTGTATATGGTATTTTAAAATTTTAGTTTGGTAGATATTCAAATTGGAATTGATGTTTTTTGGTAGAAATCACAACTTCAAATGCTTAATGATCATTTCACTTTTATTTTTATATAGATCATTGTGAAAATTTTATTCATATCAAAATATTCCAAAATAAATTTTAAAGAGTTCATTTTAAACTTGTGATGTTCATAATTTTAAATATATATGAATTTCATAAAAAGGCCAATCCAAGCCTTTGTTGATGAACCTGCTTGTGATTTCCAATTTATATTTATATATATTAAGTTCACAAATAAACTTGAAAACTATTGGATTTGGAAATATTGAGGCATTTCAACACATATTTGCAGGTCTAAAAGGCTAAGTTGGGTAATCATAAAAGCTTTATCTGAAGTTTAAGTTGCAAATATATGTCTTTACACATGAACCTACTATTAATTTTAAAGCATATTACTTTTGCAGGAGTAATCTTGAAGTTACACAATTTTGCACAACAATATATGTGTATATGTGTCACGAAAATTCCTAAATGGTTAATAGGAAATGCAATAGTGTTAAAAAATTTTAGAGACGATTCCAATAATTCAACTGGCAACTGCTGTGGCAATTTTCAAATGAAAAATGGGATAGTATATATAGCCATCCTGTGTAAAGATGATATTACTCAAGAGGTAAACTATACAGCTATTGGTAAACTATTACTATGAATGTGGATCAAAATCTGTTAGTTTAACTTCGTCAGAAACAGGAAAACAGCCAATCATAGTCGAGGAGCATATAATAAACTAAATAAAGTAGCAAATTAATATTGCTGACTCCGTCAATGAATTCTCAGAACATATTTTGAAAAAAGTGCACAGTAACGTTCCATTTCTAAGACAGAAATGGAACGTTCCATCAGTAACGTTTTATTTCTGTTTTAGAAAGATAATATTGCACAAATGCTAATATACATTAGATATATTGAGTATACGACACGAGAGCACCAACATGTGTCACGTGAAATGTTCATTTAGTAGGAAGTGACTTACCAAAACTGAGCGAACATATGAACACGAGAACAATATAACGATGTAACCGACGTTTTGGATTACATATAGCCACACTCCCACAACCTTGCAACTCATCTTCAGGTTCTTTTTCCAGAAGTGGCTTGGTCTCGTTTTGATCCGCCGTGCGATCTCCCACTTCGTTATCCGCCATAGTTTGATATCAGTGCTTGATCCACGCACTGGATCCACCACAATCCACTGAGCTATACTATCACAACAAAATTCATGAATTCCTCAAACTTTCCTCATATTTCGGAAGAATTCCTTAGACACAAATAACAAAGTAACACAAAGTATAGCAATTACGTAATTTACAACTTTCATCGGCCACATGTGACCAATTGGGCCAAAACAATCACATTTAACTTAAACCAGGCAAAAACAACTTAAGCACGAGTTTCAGCAACACTTGAAAAAATTTCCCCGAAAAAAGTGATTCCCAGATCGCTTCCCAAAAATCGACCAATTTCCCCGTTTTGCAGAAAATTTCCCCAAAAGTGCGAGTAAATGACGAGCAATATAGAAAATATAGCTCAGTGGTAATTGTACGTTGTTGTTAATTAGTTGTAGTTCTGGATGTCTGAGATTAAACAACTTTAAAACTTGTTGGTACCTCCAACTTCTTGAGTGTTTGAACACAACAGTCAACAGTGGCGACGAGCTCGAAGATTTCGGAACGGCTGAAATTGTCTGTTAAATATGGCTGCAATTAACCATTTAAAACCTAAACCGTTTGTCATTGCAGAACGTTTTACATTTCACGAACGAAAGCAGTAAAGCTTCAGAGAAAGCTGTTGTCAGAGGCGGACTTGACGAGTTGAAGTTAAAAAAAGCCTTAGATGTTGCCTTGAGCATGGGAATGGCAGCTGAAGAAGCGAAAAGGCGTAATTGCAATTGCAGGCGATGGCCCTGAGAGGGATCATGGTTACAACAAGATGTCCATTGAATGCTTTCGTTTGTTACATCTGGATCAACAGCCTCACGTGATGCGAAAAAGGTTTCTTTCATTCTTCCAGGTCTTCTATCTGACGTCTTCCTCACATATTCCCAGAGATATTCAAACAGGTTTAGGTCAGAATTTTTTCGTTGCCCTGTACTGATTGATATTTCTTTTTGTGGGGCTTTTTTCTCTGTCACATGGTGCCCTATCTTGTTCAAAGATAAAGTCTCAACCGCAAAGCTCTCTCAACCTTTTAGAAAGTCCGAAGATCGTAAATTTTCGACTAGATACGGAAAATGGTATGTTTGGCTTGTATCTAAAACTTTCCTAATAGATGAGATGGCTTTGTGGTGAAGATTATATTTTCCAGTAAGATGGGGAACCATGTCATACAGAAAAGAGCCTGAAAAAAAGTGATATTGACCAGCCCAGGGCTATAAGAGATTGCTGACGTAAACCTCATTGAACATTTTTGGGAATAAGTGAGGAAGAGGTCAGATAGAAGAGCATCTCGACATGTGGAAGATTCGACAGTTCAAAATCAGCCTTGGCGGAACACGTATGTCAAACTAACCATAACATTGCATGGAATGATTCAAAGATCATTACCACTAATGATCGTTATGGACAAAGGCGTTGTTTAGAATCAAATCAATTCGAATCCAATCAATTCGAATCAAATCAATTCGAATCAAATCAATTCGAATCAAAACAATTCGAATCAAATCAATTCGAATCCAATCAATTCGAATCAAATCAATTCGAATCAAATCAATTCGAATCAAATCAATTCGAATCAAATCAATTCGAATCAATCAATTCGAATCAAATCAATTCGAATCAAATCAATTCGAATCAAATCAATTCGAATCAAATCAATTCGAATCAAATCAATTCGAATCAAATCAATTCGAATCAAATCAATTCGAATCAAATCAATTCAAATCAAATCAATTGGAATCAAATCAATTCGAATCAAATCAATTCAAATAAATTCAATTCGAATCACATCAATTCGAATCAAATCAATTCAAATCAAATCAATTCGAATTAAATCAATTCGAATCAAATCAATTCGAATCAAATCAATTCGAATCAAATCAATTCGAATCAAATCAATTCGAATCAAATCAATTCAAATCAAATCAATTCGAATCAAATCAATTCGAATCAAATCAATTCAAATCAATTCAATTCGAATCACATCAATTCGAATCAAATCAATTCAAATCAAATCAATTCGAATTAAATCAATTCGAATAAAATCAATTCGAATAAAATCAATTCGAATCAAATCAATTCGAATCAAATCAATTCGAATCAAATCAATCGGAATCAAATCAATTCGAATCCAATCAATCCGAATCAATCAATTCGAATCAAATCAATTCGAATCAAATCAATTCGAATTTAATCAATTCGAATCAAATCAATTCGAATCAATTTAATTCGAATCAAATCAATTCGAATCAAATCAATTCGAATCAAATCAATTCGAATCAAATCAATTCGAATCAAATCAATTCGAATCAAATCAATTCGAATCAAATCAATTCGAATCAAATCAATTGGAATCAAATCAATTCGAATCAAATCAATTCGAATCAAATCAATTCGAATCAAATCAATTCGAATCAAATCAATTCGAATCAAATCAATTCGAATCAAATCAATTCGAATCAATCAATTCGAATCAAATCAATTCGAATCAAATCAATTCGAATCAAATCAATTCGAATCAAATCAATTCGAATCAAATCAATTCGAATCAAATCAATTCGAATCAAATCAATCGGAATCAAATCAATTCGAATCCAATCAATCCGAATCAAATCAATTCGAATCAAATCAATTCGAATCAAATCAATTCGAATTTAATCAATTCGAATCAAATCAATTCGAATCAATTTAATTCGAATCAAATCAATTCGAATCAAATCAATTCGAATCAAATCAATTCGAATCAAATCAATTCGAATCAAATCAATTCGAATCAAATCAATTCGAATCAAATCAATTCGAATCAAATCAATTGGAATCAAATCAATTCGAATCAAATCAATTCGAATCAAATCAATTCGAATCAAATCAATTCGAATCAAATCAACTCGAATCAAATCAATTCGAATCAAATCAATTCGAATCAATTCAATTCGAATCAAATCAATTCGAATCAAATCAATTCGAATCAAATCAATTTGAATCAAATCAATTTGAATCAAATCAATTCGAATCAAATCAATTCGAATCAAATCAATTCGAATCAAATCAATTCGAATAAAATCAATTCGAATCAAATCAATTCGAATCAAATCAATTCGAATCAAATCAATTCGAATCAAATCAATTCGAATCAAATAAATTCGAATCAAATCAATTCAATTCGAATCAAATCAGTTCAATTCGAATCAAATCAATTCGAATCAAATCAATTCGAATCAAATCACTTCGAATCAAATCAATTCAATTCGAATCAAATCAATTCGAATCAAATCAATTCGAATCAAATCATATCGAATCAAATCAATTCGAATCAAATCAATTCGAATCAAATCAATTCGAATCAAATCAATTCGAATCAAATCAATTCGAATCAAATCAATTCCAGTCAAATCAATTCGAATCAAATCAATTCGAATCAAATAAATTCGAATCAAATAAATTCGAATCAAATCAATTCGAGTCAAATCAATTCGAATCAAATCAATTCGAATCAAATCAATTCGAATCAAATCAATTCGAATCAAATCAATTCGAGTCAAATCAATTCGAATCAAATCAATTCGAATCAAATCAATTCGAATCAAATCAATTCGAATCAAATCAATTCGAATCAAATCAATTCGAATCAAATCAATTCGAATCAAATCAATTCGAATCAAATCAATTCGAATCAAATCAATTCGAATCAAATCATTTCGAATCAAATCAATTCGAATCAAATCAATTCGAATCAAATCAATTCGAATCAAATCAACTCGAATCAAATCAATTCGAATCAAATCAATTCGAATCAATTGAATTCGAATCAAATCAATTCGAATCAAATCAATTCGAATCAAATCAATTCGAATCAAATCAATTCGAATCAAATCAATTCGAATCAAATCAATTCGAATCAAATCAATTCGAATCAAATCAATTGGAATCAAATCAATTCGAATCAAATCAATTCGAATCAAATCAATTCGAATCAAATCAATTCGAATCAAATCAACTCGAATCAAATCAATTCGAATCAAATCAATTCGAATCAATTCAATTCGAATCAAATCAATTCGAATCAAATCAATTCGAATCAAATCAATTTGAATCAATTCAATTCGAATCAAATCAATTCGAATCAAATCAATTCGAATCAAATCAAATCAATTCGAATCAAATCAATTCAATTCGAATCAAATCAATTCGAATAAAATCAATTCGAATCAAATAATATCGAATCAAATCAATTCGAATCAAATCAATTCGAATCAAATCAATTCGAATCAAATCAATTCAAATCAAATCAATTCGAATCAAATCAATTCGAATCAAATCAATTCAATTCGAATCAAATCAGTTCAATTCGAATCAAATCAATTCAAATCAAATCAATTCGAGTCAAATCAATTCGAATCAAATCAATTCGAATGAAATCAATTCGAGTCAAATCAATTCGAATCAAATCAATTCGAATCAAATCAATTCGAATCAAATCAATTCGAATCAAATCAATTCGAATCAAATCAATTCGAATCAAATCAATTCGAATCAAATCAATTCGAATCAAATCAATTCGAATCAAATCAATTCGAATCAAATCAATTCGAATCAAATCCATCCGAATTTTATCATTTTGAATCAAATCAATTCAATTCGAATCAAATGAATTCAATTCGAATCAAATCAATTCGAGTCAAATCAATTCGAATCAAATCAATTCGAATCAAATCAATTCGAGTCAAATCAATTCGAATCAAATCAATTCGAATCAAATCAATTCGAATCAAATCAATTCGAATCAAATCAATTTGAATCAAATCAATTTGAATCAAATCAATTCGAATCAAATCAATTCGAATCAAATCAATTCGAATCAATCAATTCGAATCAAATCAATTCGAATCAAATCAATTCGAATCAAATCAATTCGAATCAAATCAATTCGAATCAAATCAATTCGAATCAAATAAATTCGAATCAAATAAATTCGAATAAAATCAATTCAATTCGAATCAAATCAGTTCAATTCGAA